TTGGGAAAGATCTTCGCAGGTACTTTGGTTGGCTTATTATCCCAGTAGGCTGGTTCCATCTGAATAACTTCTAGGAACTTGTTTTTCGGGATATATGGTGTTTGAGCTTTCGATTTTTGGGTAAAGACTGGTTTATGTTGAATTTCTAGGGCCCTGTTTAGACGGTTAGAAATCTGCTTATTTTTTAAGTTATCAATCAAAACAGAAAGACTTTCTTCCTGTTCATCTTCAGAAGAGGAAGTATCCTTGGTCTTGGAAGGCTTGAAGGGTTTGGATTGGCATGGCATAATCTGCTTTGGTTTGTTTAGAAGAGAAAGTATCCTCAACTCTTTGGGTGGATGACCCAGTTTGGGGTTGGGTTGATGACCCAGATTGTCCCTGGGCTGGAGACCCAGACTTTTCTGATTTTTTAGCTAACCCAGCAAGGATTAGCTTTCCTTTCCTCTCTTTAGAAGAGGTTGATTTTACCGATTTCGGCATTTCAGGACACTGTTTATCGCCTTAAGGGCTTAAGGCTTTGTGAGAAGCCTAAAGACATGAAACATAAAAGGAAAGCGTTGTCTTTATGTCATATGCTTGTAGAGTGTGAATATTGGTATGATTAATGGTCTCAAACAGATTGTGATTGTGCTGTGTGTGGACTTTGAGCGAGGGTGGACCTTGGATTGGATTGATCGCTTAGAGGTAAGCTTTCGTGTCCTCGCTTTAGCCATTGTTGGTTCCACCATACCCCATGAGGGAATGGTTTTATGCATGATGTGTTTTCATGTTTTGATGATTGAAATGCTTTTGAGCTGTTTAGTGCAAGGGCCTTATAATATGCATGTGATGTTCCATCTAGACGGTAAGTCTAAGTATGTGGTGTCATACAATACGGTGATTCTGTGGGTGGGTGCAAGTGGCGTCTTGCACTGATGTAGGCAATAGACGTATGTAAATCCTGCATTTCTCTGGCCAATAGAATATCTTGACACACATGACATGATTATCTGTTGCATTGCACTGATTTTGGAACTGATATTGTATATTGCTTTTAGAACTTATATTGCACATGTAAGTGAGCTTGGGGTGGAGAAATCCTTGAGGACCCTTGCCTTATTGAGATTTCTGTTTAGAGATCTCACCTCACGTTTAGGGCACATATTTCAGGTTTAGGTAACTCGAGGGTTGAGACCTCGGGCGGCAGGAAGCCAGAACTTAGTTGACTGATGTATGATGATTATACTGTTTTGATTGGATGCTACTTGATTCTTATTACCTTGTTATTTGATTTGAGACTCTGTTGGGCTTTGTTGCCTTATTTGGTGAGCATGGGGGTTGTCCATGCCACATTGATTGACTATGTCTTATTGGATTCAAGTTGTATTAATGTATCAGGATCATGTCCGGACTACGTGTTGTAGATCCGTGACTTAGATACTCACATATTTATTCTATGAGATTATTCAGTGTAGATAGCTGCCTATTTACAATTTACATACAGACGATGTTTTATGAAAAGTGATTAATTAATCAACTTGGTAATTGATAATGACGTCATAATTGAAAAGAAAAAGTTATTTCGCATTTTTAATTAAGCGTGACTTAATACGATGACATGATAACAAACCGAGTATACACAGAGTGTTACATTGGTCATAATGCTAGCTGTTCCTCGGAGGCTCTAATTATGGTGAGGCTCTAATTATGGTGTCGTTGTTCTGCTGTTTATTTTTTGTTAGTAGCTTTTCTTTCCCAGTTCTTTCTTGTTTAGTTTTCTTTTTACTTTTCTTTTTGGGGCTATGCCCTTTTCTGTTACCAATATATATATATATATATATATATATATATATATATTCTTACACCGGTATAAGAGTGAGAAGTCTTACACTCAATCTTGACCATTGATCCACTTATATCCAATGACTCACATTACTAAAAAATTAGAGCCCTTAAATATAAGTGAGATTAATAGATAAAATTGAAAGTGCAACTTACACCGGTGTAAAATGATCCTAACCCTATATATATATATTTTATATAGTGACTATGAGTTTCAATTAAAGCGATATTATAGAGAGGCGAATAATATATATTAAGAATACAGTATATTATAGAGAGGCGAATATAATATATTATAGAGGTGAATACAGGAAAGTGACTGTGTTTCAAGTAAAGTGCTACTCAATATATTATATGAGTGTACTATGAATACAGTAAAGTGATAAAACAAATAAGAGGCTGACATCAGAAAGGAGGCTACCGATGAGAAGCCAAAACAAAAGTTACAAAGCAAATATAATAAATAAAGTTCGTTTTTTCTGCTCGCAGATAATTTATCTGCAATAAGTCAATACGACGTCGTTTTGAGACGGAAATTATGATATTTTTGTAATTTTAATTTATTTTAAGATTATAATAATATTTATATTCATAATTTTTTAAGATTTCAATACTAAAACATCGTTTTTGCAAAAATATTTTTCCCATAAACAAAATGAAAACTACACGTATAATGGTTCCTTGACTCCTCCTGCAACATTAGAATAAAGGAAGAGTATTAGGGTTTTAGTTTTAATTTGGGATATTTTTTATATTTTTTAATTAGTATTATGTTTATTAAGTGTATTTTTGATATTTTATATTATGAGAATATTTTAATCATTTGAGAGATTAAAATATCGCAAAATTGTAATAAATATATGTAATATCCCATATTTTCTTTTAATAAAATAATAATAATAATAATATAATAATAAATATTTTTGGATAATAATGATATTTAGTATTTTTGTAATTAATAATATTGGTATTTAATATTTTTAATTAATGAGTTAATAATAGTTATATTAATAAGAGGTAAGATAATAATAGTAATATTATTTGATTTATGTGATAATATATAATATATATATATATATATATTAGATGATAAATTATGATTAATGATTTATTAATTGATTGATGATTTATGTATTTATGTTGGATTAGTAAATTGTTTAGATATGATGAGTCAACAAACAAAAATTGTTTAGATATGATGAGTCAACAAACAAAAATTGTTTAGATATGATGAGCCAACAAACATAAATTTGTTTAGATATGATGAGTCAACAAATATAAATTGTTTAGATATGATGAGTCAGCATTGAGTCAATAATGTGTAAGCCCTAAACTTCAACTATAAATAGAGGTCTAGCCTAACCAAACCAATTCACTCTTCAACATTTCTCCTCTACTATTCTCTCTTCTTAGTTCAAAAACTTAGTTTAATTTATTTTATATTCTTCTGATTATCAACCGGTTCTTTGCCCCAAATTACTCTTTTCTTCTAGAAGTTAGCGAAAACGGAGATCAGGTAATCTTAATCTCTAGGTGGTTGTAGATTTGTTGTGTATGAAATTTTATTGGGTGTCTTATTATTCAGGTAGTTATATGTTTGATATATGTAATCTCAATCCCTAGGAAAATTTTAGGATGTTTTCATATATTATATGTAACCCTTAGGGTATTTAAATTAAATTATTTTAATCTCTAGAAATTAATTGGATTAATTATTACATTTTGGCTTTACTCTAATAGATGTGAATATTTGAATTATGATTTGGAAAAATTATGATATGATGATTGGATTTAGATTTTACTCTTTGAATTTTGATTTCGAAAATTATGATATAATGATTGGATTCGAGTTTTACTCTGTTATATGTTGAATATGAAAATTATGATATTCTTGGATAATGGATTTGAAAATTATGATGGATTAGAAAATTATGATATTCTTGGATAATGGATTTGGAAATTATGATGGATTTGGAAATTATGATATTCTTGAAAAAATGAATTTGGAAATCATACTCTTGATTAAATTGATGTGGAAATCATGAAAACTATTTGACAATTATGAGAATCGTGACAAGATTGAATTGATTGTATGTGATTGAATAAATTAATAGTGGGAGGATAGCTTTGGGATGTTACCTCCCCAGGTGATGAACACAATTTTTGGGCTTTATGCCTCCGATGTGAAAAAGATTATATCCGTTCTTTCCAAAGTGGTGTCTGGCAGGGTTTCCCGGGATACTAGTAGCAACTTTGGGAAGAGGTGTGCACACTAGGAAGATGTGAATTGATTATGGCCAATGTGATTTGTTTGTGACTGGCAGGGTTTCCCGGGTCACAGGGTAGACTGGCAGGGTTTCCCAGGTCTACCATGGTTCTCTTCCCACTAAATATAATGAACTTAAACATTATTAATGAAATTTGTTATTTGATTTGATTATGAAGAATGTCATTGAGTTGTAAATATTATCATATTATGATTAATGTTGTGCTAAATATGTTAGTTGATAATTACCAAATACATTAAATGAACTTAATAAAGATAAATATTATATAATGGAATTTTGATTATTATATTGATATTTGATTTGATTAATGTGGAATTGATTTGAACACTATTTTATTTGATTTAATTTGTTTTAAATTACATTAATTGTATTTTGATTGGGATTACCAGCTTTGCTGACTTTTGTGTTTGTTTAACTGCAATGATCCTTCACGGGGGAGCAGATTTTCAGTGAAGCATGTTGCAAAGGATGGGGCTAGCTGTGGGTAGTGAGGATCACGACTCGGATATTTCTAGCTGTCATAAATATTATGTATAAAAAAAAAACTGTAGTCTTAGATTTTTATTTGAATGTAATAGAGTTAGCCTTGCACTTGTCCCTGTACAAGTGCGGCGGTAACACTTTCTAAATTTGATTATTTTGAACTTCCGCTGTTATTTATAAAATTATTGAATTTATTTATGCTATTATAAATTGTTAGAATTTGAGGTGTTATAATATAAATGATAATTTTCGAACCACCTTAAGCTAAATAGTATAAGGGAAAATATTTTGTCCTTTAAAAGAAAAAATTATTTTCTCGTAACATAATAGTTGAAAATAAAATTTTCCTTATTTTAACATTTAAGAATCGTGATCAAAGACAATTCTTAGGTAGCACTGTTGCAGAATATGTTACTTCGTACCATTCGTTATTGTCGAGCCAGACCCCAACCAATATTACCCGCCGCCAAGCACTTCCACCACCTTCTCCTTCCCTTTCCTCTTCCAGTGTTCCACCTAAACCGTGGGCTCAGATCTTCAAAACCAGTTTCGATTGTTTCTCATATAAATACTTCATATTCTTCTTCTTCTTCACCGTCAATTAACCAAAGCCCACTTTCCCTTTCACCTTCATCTTCAACTTCAACCCATCAAAGGAACAAACCGAACCAAAGCCTCCAAGAGAGAGAAACCTTCTCTAACAAAGCAATGGTGGCGCTTCTCGTTGCAACCACGACCGACCCGGCTTCCATTAACCCGGCCAATGCCCTGTTGGCCATGCCCGGGTGGCAACCCAGACCCCATTTCCAGGTTCAAAGCATCAACATTTTATGGCACCCATTATGCCTGTTTCTACTCTTTTTGTTGTTTTGGTTCTCATTTTTTTTTTCTGTGTTGGGCTCCTTTAGGATGATATGAAGAGCTTTGTTAATGAAGGGTTGAGGGTTTTGCTACATGGGAAGAGTATAGTGGTGGAGGATGACTTGGACAAGAGGTGGGAAGAGGTGACTGGTGAGGTTATTGATGAGGTTATCTTCTTCAGCAAGCACACTGCTGTTTCTAACAAACCTGCTCTCACTGTTCACCCTATTGGTAATTTGTTGTAGTTAGCTTTTTTGGGTTTCCTTTGATTTTGTAATGTGGAAAGAGTGTGTCAGGTAATGATTTGCTGGGTGGAATGTGTATGCAGGAGTTCCTCATTTGCGTGAAGGTGATGTTCCACCCCAAGGTGGGAAACCTGGATGGGCAGCGCTGCCAAATCCTCGGATAGGGCCCTGGCTTCGACTTTTGAAAAATATGGCTCAGGCTCATAATCTTGTCCCTGAGTTTGAGGTGTCTTCCTTTTGTTTAAATGGAATTTAGACTACTTTTCTTTTCGTGCTGCTGATGGTGTTTCTTGTGCATGATTTTGCTATTAACTAAGGGGAAAGATATTGTAACAACCAATTAGTGTTATTACCAATCAAATTCACCGTTAGATCGATTATGTTGATCAAACGGTTATATTTATTTCCATCTTTGTATGATTATGATTCCCCATATTTAATACTTTATTTTATTTCTACCTTTGTATGGTTATGATTTCTCATATTTAATACTTTCACGTTAAATATGGAGAATCATAACCATACAAAGATGAAAATAAATATAACCGTTAGATCAATATAATCGATCTAACGGTGAAATTGATTGGTAGTAACATTGGTAATAACACTCATTGATTGTTACAAGATCCTACCTCATTAACTAATTAGCCTTTGTTTTTCTAGTTATATCTTAATTGCTTCCGCTTCTTTGTGACTAAAAAGTCACGGGTTTGTATGCGGAAAACAGCCTCTTTGCAAATATGCAAGGGTAAGGCTGAGTATAAGGATGACCCTTCTCCGTACCCTCATTAGTTGGGATTTAATGGTAGTGTTTTTTTTTTTTAAATCTATATCTTAAGTGCTTCTTCTTTAGATTCAATGTTCCTGCGAATGCATGGCTTGTTTACCATTAGAGGAAGATGACTTAATGTCAAATTGAATTTTGTTAGGATAACGGATCCTACAATGGCATATCAGAAATGGAACGAGATATAGGAGAAGAAAATCAGAGAAAAGAAAATATTCCTGTATATTCATGATAACCTTCACAATGACACATATCAGGCATTTAAGCTACGTTGCCTAACAAACTCCAACAGCAAGCATAACATGACACGTCAGTCCATGACTCACACTACCATCAAGCAATGACTACCACTTGGGACTAATAGCTATTAACAAGGTCCACTACTAACAACAGTTCCACTACTAACAACAGTGAATCTATTAATTGATCCAAAAGAAACTAATGACAGCAAAAACATCTTGGGCTGATCACACCACATAGTCCTTGGCCCATGAAGGGGCACCAACTCTTCTCTTCATCTTGGGCTTCTCATTCCTAACATTGCTCCCATCTTCCAAAGGAACCTTGTCCTCAAGGTTCTTGTCTGGCAAAACAAAATCGGGATAGTACAATTCGATATCACTCTCATCCTCCCAACTTGCATCTTCAGGAAGAGAATTGGTCCACTGAATCAACCATTGCCCTTTTCCTCCAGTCCGCTCCACCTTCTGCCTATACATCAAGGCTGCCTGAGGAACTTGAATAGGATGATTACCATGATTAATCTTAGGCAAGGGTAAGGCAGCTACAACTCCATCTCCTTTAAAGGGCTTGAGTACAGAAACATGAAAAGAAGAATGAATTCTGCAGCCTTCAGGTAACTCCACTTGATAAGCTATAGGGCTCAAGACCCTAGTTATGGGAAAAGGACCATAATACCTTTTAGCAAGTTTTTGGCATTTCCTGTTAGCTAATGTGACCTGTCTATATGGTTGCAATTTAACCAACACCAAGTCACCCACCGAAAAGGTAACATCCTTCCTAGAAAAGGTAACATCCTTCCTATGCTTGTCGGATTGAGTCTTCATCCGATTCTGTGCACTGCATAATTGTTCCTTGAGTAGTTTTAACAGTTCATCTCGATGGCTAAGAGTAGCATCGACAGCTTCAACACGTACAGATCCCTTAAGATAGGGTGGAATCATTGTTGGTGCCTTACCATACAAGGCCTGGAAAGGAGTCATTCCAATAGCGGAATGCGCAACAGTATTGTAATGATACTCTCTACCCATCCCAAATAAAATGCCCACTTATGATTCTACTCATGGCAAAAAGCTCTCAAATATTGCTCCAAATACCAGTTGGTGACCTCTGATTGACCATCTGATTGGGGATGGTAAGCTGTGCTAGTCCTTAAAATGGTGCCACTACATTTGAAAAGGTGTGACCAGAAATGACTTAAGAAGACCGAGTCCCTATCAGAGATTATGGTTCTAGGAAAACCATGTAGTTTGACCACTAAATCACAAAACAGAGATGCTACCTTGGCAACTGTGTAAGGGGTGGCTAAGGCACCAAAGTGAGCAAACTTGGTCAAGCGGTCCACCACTACTAGTATCACATTAAACCCCTTAGATATTGGCAGCCCAGTAATAAAATCCATGCTTAAGTCTTCGAAGACTCCATCAGGTATTGGTAAGGGTTGAAGCAATCCTGAAGGAGGAGAAGTGGAAGTCTTAATCATTTGACAAGTAGAACAGCTCTGAACAAATTCATGGACATCCTTCCTCATGCCCTTCCAATGAAAAGAGGCAGATAACCTCAAAAAAGTTCGAGTAATTCCAGCATGCCCCCCAATCAAGGTTGAATGTGCTTCCTGCATAATATTATCCTTCAAAGCAGAATGAACCCTCATAATGAAATCGCGGTGAGTTCGAAGGAGATGAAAGCACCAATGTTAGGATAACGGATCCTACAATGGCATATCAGAAATGGAACGAGATATAGGAGAAGAAAATCAAAGAAAAGAGAAAAGAAAATATTCCTGTATATTCATGATAACCTTCACAATGACACATATCAGGCATTTAAGCCACGTTGCCTAACAAACTCCAACAACAAGCATAACATGACACGTCAGTCCATGACTCACACTACCATCAAGCAATGACTACCACTTGGGACTAATAGCTATTAACAAGGTCCACTACTAACAACAGTTCCACTACTAACAACAGTTAATCTATTAATTGATCCAAAAGAAACTAATGACAGCAATAACATCTTGGGCTGATCACACCACATAGTCCTTGGCTCATGAAGGGGCACCAGCTCTTCTCTTCATCTTGGGCTTCTTATTCCTAACAAATTTTAGATGTGTTTTAAAATTTAAAAAGCAATTCTAGCAGAATTTGATCCATTTCCTCAATTTAGATTACTTTGGAGGCCACTCATCATGGACCGCTGACAAATAAGCCCACCATGTTTCTGGAGATTGGTTAGTGCTTTTTCCGTCCTCGAAGATGTATTTGGATTGATCGATTTGATTTATCATATATTATAAGCATATTGCATTGTCTTTTAGTTGTTTTTCGATTAAGTACTGTGAAAATGGTGTTGAGTCTCTACATCTTCAATTACTTGGTTTTCAGACCAAGTTAATCTTTATTTGGACGTTTATTCTCCTTTGATCTTCTCCCTTTTGTAAGTACAAGTTATTTGCAAAGAAGGTTCCATCTTTTCTAGGTTTTCCATGGGAAATGATAAATGGTATTTAAAAAAGGCAATGAAATGAGGCTTGAAAATCAGCAGTGTTATTTTAGTTTAAATACTTCATTTGAGTATAAAGAGTTGTATTAGGAAAGTCCAGAATGGCTGAAGGTATTCAGGAACATAATTTCAAATTATTTCCGGGGTTAATGTATGCATTTTGGTGCTAAAATTTTATTGATCTCTTTCGCATTGTAAAGGAATTGTCACCTGTCCTTCCTCACTAACCCCTTTCCCCCAACCTGATACCTCTCTCTGTATTAGCTACATCAACCCTAGGTTTAAACTAATTTGGGTTTGTCATTCCTTTTTATCCAACCTTATCATTTTTGTCTAGTCCTTTTGAGGCCTTACCCCTCCTTTCTGCTTCCATCCATCATCCTCGGTCTTTCATCCATGTTAGCGCTTATTGACTTTATTCTTGTAGATATTATTTTCCCTTGCAATTAAATAAGCGACATATTTACCAATAGTTTGAAGCAGTTGGTGGCTGCTACACTTAATACAATAACTGGTTTTTGCTCTGCTATAGGCAGTACTGAAGACTATTGGAAGAGACAGGATGCTGCTCAAGTTATGGCTCAGGTTGAGTAGACTTTTATACTTTTTCATAACCTTTGTATCAATATCTAGAATTTCCCTGTATGGATCATATTCTTTTATAAAACTTCTCATGGATAAGAAATTGCATCTCTAACTATCTATACCGAAATAAATGCTTTGGATAGGCAGATGGTTGGTAATATTTTATTTTGTTTACTCAAATGATATTGTTTGGGTTCTTACAGTTAGTCTGGGAAGGACTTGGACTTGGAGGAGGGACAGATGTAGGAAACTGGAGCAGGTAGGATGATTAAGCTAAGTAGTTTAATAAATGTATTGATGTTAGTTGGCATGCTCATTATGCATTTGGTATTTACATTATATCTCCAGATGTCGCACCTGTCTTTATGGATAGCATTGCGCATGTCTCTATGATGCTCCAATTTTACACTTTTGGACTTGGTGGACTTTCTTTCGGACACTTTTAAATTGTTCTTTTGTTGATATGGCATAATTATGGAATAGTTTCCGATAACTTTTATGTTTGTTTCCTTTAGGTTATTAGAGCTTACTTCTACATTTGGTGAAGCTTTTCTAACCTGAATCTAAATCTCATGCTCTTATAGGGAGAATGCCAATAAGAAAGTCCTTCTTGGGATAGGTGGTGGACATTATGTGCCTCGGCATATGGATGTAGTATTGTAAGTTGTCATTGTCAGTGAACTGCCTGTTCTATATAATTGATTTTTCAGATTATATTAAAGAAAGGCTGGAACTATACAGCTATTCTCATCCTCTTTGACTTTTGGGTAATTTTGAAAACCCCTTCTACTGCACTCTGCAATTTTCTCCCAAGGTTAGGCTATTTGTTTGCCTGATAAGGTTTCAATAATTAAAATTTACCCACATTATCCATCTACTTAACATGCACATGAAGACTTTTGACATAGTAATATTAAAATTGGTTCTGAAAATCTAGCAATTTTGCTCCCATCAATTTTTGATGTTACATTTGTTATCCATCATATTCCATTATCAACTTTATGCCACTATGATGAAAGGGTGTAAATTGCATACTGAAATAGATTATGGGAATAAATTGAACTAATGAAAAGCTTGGGGGTTAAACTTCATAGGGAGTGAAGTTAAAAATGGTTTTTTTTAATTATCCTTAACTTCTTAGATTGCTTTAGCCTTGTGTTACAACTGAATCAGAAAAGATGGAATTGAAGAAGAAAAACAGAAATTTTTGGCCCATGAAAAGTTTCTGGATCTTCTGTGTATTATTTGAGAAAGAGAGTACAATAACAGAGCTACAAGAAGAAGAGATTTACACAATATTTACTACACTCTTCTACAGATCAAAAAGAAAGAAAAGCAAAGTTCAACACAATTGAGAGCTCTCCCAGTCCCAATTCCCAAATTCCAGCTTTCCCTTCTGAACCTCTTTTTTCTCCATTTAAGCACCCCTGCGATCATTCCTAACAGAAGTGTGCAGCATATTTCCTTCTAACGGTTTTGCTGCCGAGTCAGCCTTTGTGAGGTTGTTGCTGATATTATAGTGATTGCTCACCTTGCCCTTAAACCTCCTTCTAGAATAAACTTTGAGGGATAGGGATGTATCACCTTGTTTCATGATCCATCTTGACTTCGGCTGACTGAACTTCTACAAAAGCACTTTGAGAAAAACATTTATGATCATGAAAATGTTTTTTAAACCTTGCTACTTTAATTTCCTCAGTCTATAATTAAACAACCTTTATTTTTAATGCACTGTAAGTTTGTACAAGTTTTCTCGAACTTGATCGAATACTGTATCAGTTAGCTGAGGGTGACTTTGGAATTAATATGGATATCTGTTTTGCTTAAATGAAATATGGATATACTTTGCTGATTTGCTCTTGTAATCTAGGAAAGATGATGTTTGGGTGGGTCACCTACTTTCTGGATATTCACTGCCAATGGAAGATCCAAACCAATCAAAACGAGAAACAAATGTGGAGATTGGTGGAACCTGGAGAGATTCTATAAAAGCTGCATATGAGGCCACTAGATCTGCCTTTCCTGGTGGCGAAATCCTTGCACATCTTGACCACAAGTAAGCTTAATGAACATTATCCTTCTGCAATCAGCAATCTGTTTGTATGCAAAGCATCAACTGAATGTGATTTCATGATTGAGTGCTGAAAAGTTCATAAAAAATTATCTGCAAAGCATAAAGGTTTGAAAAACATACTAATTGTATATTCAAGTGTATAAGTCTGTACAAGGAGGCTCTCTATTTATAGAGACTAAAAAGACCTAATGGGATGACCTAATGGGCCAAGCCCACAATCTAGACTATTCTAGACTATTCTAATAATAATAAAATAATATTATTTCTAACACTCCCCCTTAAGCTGGTGCGTATATATCAAAAGCTCCCAGCTTGTTACAAATATGATCTATTCGGGGACCTCTAAGAGCTTTAGTGAATACATCCGCAAGTTGATCATTGGAATTGACAAATGCTGTCTCGATCTCCCTTGACTGGATCTTTTCTCTAACAAAATGACAGTCAATTTCTATATGCTTGGTCCTCTCATGAAAGACTGGGTTAGAGGATATATGCAAAGCGGCTTGGTTGTCACAAATGAGCTTCATAGGCCTTTGTTCACAGAGATGGAGTTCCTTCAGCAATTGTCTCAGCCAGATGAGCTCACAGGTTGCATTTGCCATTGCCCGATATTCTGCCTCCGCACTGGATCTGGCGACCACAGTTTGCTTCTTACTCTTCCAAGAGATCAAATTTCCTCCGAAAAGAACACAATACCCTGAGGTGGATCGTCTATCTGAAGGAGAACCTGCCCAGTCAGCATCTGAATAACTAGAGATCTCTGAATTCCCTTTATTTGTATATAATAAACCTCTTCCTGGCGCCTTTTTAATATATCGGAGAATTCTAATAACTGCATCCCAATGGGAGTCACAGGGAGAATCAAGAAATTGACTTGCAACACTCACTGCGAAGGAGATATCTGGCCTTGTCACAGTAAGATAATTCAATTTTTCAACTAGTCGGCGGTAGCGACTAGGATCTGGCAGTGGCTCCCCCTGTCCTGGTAATAACTTAACATTGGGGTCCATAGGTGTATCAATGGGTTTACAGCCTAACATTCCAGTCTCATCTAGGATATCCAGTGCATACTTCCTCTGACAGATGGAAATGCCCCGCCTAGACTGTGCAACTTCGATCCCCAAGAAATATCGAAGTCTGCCAAGATCTTTGGTTTGAAATTGATTGAATAAATGCTCTTTCAACTGATCAATCCCGATCTGATCACTGCCTGTAATGATAATGTCATCAACATAGACCAGGAGATAAACGCACTGGCCAGAAGAGCTATGTCGGTAAAAGACAGAATGATCGGCTTTGCTTCTGATTAAGCCAAAGGATTCAACAACTGAACTAAAGCGGCTAAACCAGGCCCGAGGAGATTGCTTCAGGCCATATAAAGATTTCCGAAGTTTACATATCATTCCAGAATTCTCCCCCTGAGCAACAAAACCTGGTGGTTGCTCCATATAAACTTCTTCCTGCAAGTCACCATGTAGAAAAGCATTCCTAATATCAAGTTGGAGAAGAGGCCAGTGATGAATGGCGGCAAGGGCAAGAAACAGGCGAATAGAAGCCATCTTAGCAACAGGAGAAAAGGTATCCCCATAATCAAGACCAAAGATCTGTGTGTATCCCTTGGCCACTAAGCGAGCTTTAAGGCGATCAACAGTGCCATCAGGACCAACTTTAACTGTGAACACCCATCGACAACCAACAACAGACTTCCCGGGAGGAGCACGAACAAGATCCCAAGTGCCATTAGAGTGAAGTGCCTGCATTTCATCAAGCATCGCCTGGCGCCACCCTGGATGAGATAGTGCTTCACCTGTGGTTTTAGGGATGGAAACAGAAGAGAGACTAGAAACAAAAGTAAAATGTTGTGAAGAAAGTCTGTCATAACTCAAGAAAGAATAAAGGGGATGAGGATTTCGAGTGGATCGAATACCTTTCCGAAGGGCAATTGGAGGAGTCTCTGATGGAGGATCCGGAGGAGAAGAGCCGACGGGAAAAGGCGATGAGTCATCAAGAGGCAAAGTCGGAGGAGGTGCAGGTTGACGACGCTGGTATGTGAGGAGAGGACGATCTGCAGGTATGGAGGTAATTGGTTGCTCCTCTGGAATAGGGGCACCTGCAGCTGGTAAAGACAAGTCAAGAAAAGGAACAGGAAGGACCTGATCAACTTGTGACACTGGAGACGGAGTAGAGTGAAAAGGCTGCTGATCAAGGAAAGTGACATCAGCAGAAACGATATAACGCTTGAGATCAGGTGAATAGCAACGATACCCTTTTTGAAAACGGGTATACCCAAGGAAAATACATTTGAAGGCCTTGGATGTCAACTTGTCTTTACCTGGAGTAAGATCATGAACAAAACAAGTACAGCCAAAAATATGTAAAGGCAGAGGATAAGAAGGTGCTCCGGAAAACAAAATACTGTGGGGAACATCATTATTTAGCACAGAAGAGGGCATGCGGTTGATAAGGAAACATGAGGTGATAATAGCATCTGCCCAAAAACGAAGTGGGACGTTCATATGAATGAGAAGAGTACGTGCAGTTTCAACTAGATGTCTATTTTTACGTTCAGCGACTCCATTTTGTTGTGGAGTGTGGGGACAAGTAGTCTGGTGTATCGTCCCATGTGTATCCAAAAATTTAGAAAATTCAAGAGACACATACTCTTTTGCATTATCACTGCGCAAGATTTGAATAGAAGCACCAAATTGAGTTTTTATTTCTGCACAAAACTTTTGATAAATTGAAAATAACTCAGAACGATTTTTCATTAAATAAACCCAAGTGCAACGGGAGAAATCATAAATAAAGGTTACAAAATACTGAAAACCCAAAACTGACATAGTCCGACTCGGACCCCAAATATCAGAATGAACAATAGAAAAGGGAGCAGCAGCTCTTTTATTGACTCTACTAGCAAAGGAAGAACGAGTATGCTTTCCCTGCTGACAAGACTGACAATTCAAAGACTTAAGACCTGACAAAAAAGGAACCATATGCTGAAGCTTCGAGAGACTTGGATGACCCAGACGGCTATGGAGAAGCTCAGGAGACTCTGTGAGAGAGCATGCAACTGGAGCAGAGGGTGCATGCAGATAGTAGAGACCTCGTGACTCACCGCCCGCTCCAATCGTCTTCCCCGTACTCGGATCCTGCATAGAAAAAGACTGTTTAGAAAAGGTGATAGAGCAAGAAAGAGAATGGGTCAATTGACTAACAGAAATTAAATTAAAAGGAATGCCAGGGATGTAATAAACAGAGGTTAAAGTCAATAAGGGAGTTGGTTTGGCTTGCCCAATGCCACGAGCAGGAGCCTTGGTGCCATCAGCAAGAGTAACAGAGGGAAGATTATTAGAAAAGGTAAGGGAAGTAAAAAGATCCTTATTACCACAAAGATGATCAGTAGCACCTGAGTCTATTATCCAGGGTCCAAGAGACGATTGAGAAAAACAAGCAACATGATTACCAGTATCTGGAGCAGGTGGCTGAGAAGAACTCTTCTGGAGAAGGGCCTTATAGTCTGCAGCGGAAATAGTCACTGATCCGGTAGAGGGCGGCACAACATCTGTTTGAGCAAAGTTCATATGTGGTGGCTTCAAGTGAGGGTACTTTCTATAACAACGTTCTTCAATGTGGCCCAGATATTGGCAATAATTACACCGAGGCCTTTGTCCTCGGCCACCCTGTCCATACGACATCGTCTGTCCGCGCCCGCCTGGGCCATATGAAGTCATGGGCCCGCGACCGCCTTGTCTGCGGCCACGACCACGACCGCGTCCACCATTGTTCCAATTACCACGAGAGACTAAAGCAGCAGAATCAGAGAAGAGAGCAGTAGAGTCAGTAGCTGTGACGTGTGCGGGAGCCACCTTATCTTGAAGATTCAGAAGGCGCTGAAAGGTCTGGGATATGCTGGGAATCGCAGTACTGGTTAGAATGTTCTACGAACACTTTCTAATCCGTCAGGGAGACCAGAGAGAGTCACAACCGTAAAGAGACGCTCCACTTGCGTCCTGTACACTGTAGCATCCGCAGCATGAGGTAACATAGCCAAAAATTCCTGCATCAAAGAACGCATCTTACCAACATAAACTTCCATACGAGCTTCGGGTGATTTGCGCAAATCCATCATCTGGGAGACAATGGAATAAAGTTGTTGAATATCATTGGTGTAGAGGTTTTTGGCTTCCGTCCACACATCATAGCAGGTCTCAAAAGGAATGAAAATATTGAGAAGAGATGAATCAATGGATTGCCAAAGAATACTGAGGAGCTGAGCATCAACTTTCTCCCATTCAGTCATCTGATCTTGGGAAATATCAGTCTTCTTAGTGGTGAGATGTTTGTCATGGCCTTGACCGGTAAACCAGATCTTAACGGAGGTAGACCAGGTCTTGTAAGTGGCAGATCCGGTCAATTTCAGAGTTGTGATAGATGGAATAGCACTTGAAATGATGCCGGAAGAATGTTTACTGGTTCCTTCCATCAGGAACAGCGATCAGACAACCAAAAAACTGTAAAAATTACGCGAAAAAGGAACAAAGTAGCGACTTTTGCACTAGAAACCCTCGAACGGAAGAGACCCACAACGATCGGTCTCTGGATCTGGAAGGAGGAGGCAGAGGCGAGCCTGTCTGCCTTGGTTTGGTCGGAAAAGGTGGCCGGAACAGTGCACACGCGCCGGAGAGAGGTGGCGCGTGAGGCCTACGCGCAGACAGCTGTGGTGGCGCGTGGAGGCGCGTGCGGCGGCCGTTTGGGACGGGTCTTGGACAGAAATGGTCGCCGGCGTGAGGGGATCCTGATCGCGTGGTTTCTCGCCGGAAAGGTGGCCGGAACAGTGATGAACAGTGACGGAACAGTGTTTCTTGCGATGTGAACAGTGTTTTCTGGTCAAATAATGAAGGAGGATGACGATCTGAGATCGAAAAAGGGTCTAACAATGTTCGGAGGGTTGAAAAAGGTTGCCGGTATGATGCACGACGGTA